GCGTGGTCGGGTTCAGGCTGCCTCCTCCCGGAGGGACCGTGGGCTGGGCAGGCTGCTCAGCCTGTGAGTGGTTTCCGGGAGGACTGGAGCAGGGCTGGGTCCTGGGCACTGCCTGCCGCCACGGCAGCGCTCTGGCCATGGTGTGTTCAGGCAGCAGCCCTGGCCGTGCCATGGAGCGCTTGATCTGACAAACGGAGTTTTAAGCTTTAACTAATGAGTTGAAATCCCAATATCTACACGTGGGTAGTAGAGTGAGAGCTGGGTTTGAACCCGATCTGCCCTCAGGAGCTTTGCAGCTGGGTGAAGGCCCTGACCCCCGAGAGCCTGTTTCCTCATCAGTAGGATGGGATGGCGGTCCCTGCTCCCTCGTAAGCGGTGTGAGGATGGAAGGCGTTATGCACGTAACGTTCTAGAATGTCCCGGTGCAGTCAGCCCGAGGAAGGGTTTGCTCTGTGACCCTGCTAAATGCCTCGTTCTGGAGGTTCCTGTTCTGGGCTGAGCCCCTCAGCAGGTCGGCCTGGCTGGGATTCTGCCCCACCCCCACCACGAAAGGCATTCTGCACCCTCACGGCCGCCTTCCTTTTCTCCCCGAGTCCTTCCGGCGGCTGGGTCGCCCTGTGTTCTGGAACAATCTGCAACAACAGAGTTTGGTCTCCCCCAGCTGCTATTTATTTCCTTTCTTCCTGCCAGGAACGTGAGGCCGAAGATGACCATTTATGTCTGTCAGGAGGTGGAGCAGAGCCGGGCACCCCTGCAGCAGAAGCGGGATGGTGGTGGGGACAGCGGCCTGTGCGGTGAGCTGTGAGCCCTGCCCCCACCCCCACCCCCGGACCGGTTCTGGGTGGCCATAGAACGGAAGAAACACCAGGGCTCTCACTGAGAATGAGCCCTGATGCCCTCACTTCGGTTCTTGCAGGATAAGTTTTGCTGAACTTCATCCTGGGGTGGAAATGTTTAAGGTGGAAGGTAGCCCCCAGATATCTCTGGTTCAGCTTATTTTGTACCCCAGGAAACGGGCCCAGAGTGTGGGTGTGTCCCCCAAAGCCGCTGAGGTTCTCGTGGTCGGACTGGGAGCTGGGCCTTCTGGCTCCTGGACGGGTGGCACGTGGCTTGGTGGCTGTGGTCCCAGAAGCACGTCATCCTGTGACCCCGGCCGGAGGGTGTGGCTGCTGCATGAGGGCTCAAGAGCGCCACTGAGGGGTCCCAGAGCCCCTCGGGGCACAGGGCTTCTTGGGTGGGAGTTCGGGGCAGTGTGAGAGAGGACACAAGCTTTGAGGTCAGCCGTCCTCGAGTACCAGTGCTGGCCGTGCCGCCTGGCGGCCCCGTGTCCTGGGGCAGGTGCCGGGGCCTGTGCGTCAGCTTCCATGTGTGTGTAGAAGGAGCACAGCGCCACTGCCCTGCGGTGTGTGAGGTCCAGGGAGGTGAGCAGAGAGCTCCCGCTGTGAGCCCTGCGCGCTGAGTGCGAGCGCCTTGGCGTCCTGGGTGCTGTGTCTGCAGGAGCTGTCTGCTCTGCAGCCCCCGGCAGGGAGCATGCCGCAGCCCCTGCCGCAAGGCTGCCCGCGTGGTCGCTTATCTGCTTCTCAGGAGGAACGGTTGCTAACGTGGTTTCACTGTGGGGACAGAGGCACAGCTGACGCCCAAGGTGACCGCGTTGTAAGTGGCAGAGCCAGGATCCAAACATTGGGACCCTGGTGCTGGCTTCTGAGCCCTTAGTGTGGCCTTGATACTTCTGGTGAAGCCCCGGTGCCCCCTGCTCTCAGCGTGGTCGGCCTGCGAAGCACAGAGCCAAGTGCTGCATGCCACACACAGG